TTTTCAGTTAACTAACTTAATATAATTTATGATCTCCTTTCTAAGTTCCGTTGGATTTTGGTCATTGTCTTGATCAGTTTTCCTGTTCTCCATTTCTAAAAACAGAGGAACAGATATTAAGATCTCAAAAACTCTATTATTGTTATTTTATTTTTTTATTTTTTAAGTGAAAATGATCTATAAAAATTATAAAAACAATTTTTTGTTACTTTATAGAAGTGGGTTAATTTTCAAAAATAGTTTTCAAAAAGATCTACCAAAACTTCTCAAATTAGACACAATGTTTTAAAACTAAAATTAGACTCTCTGATCCCACTAATTCAACTATGACCAAACTTGAAAATAATAATTTAGATAATTCTCGGTAATACTTCTTATGATAAAATTGTTTAGTTTTGACTAGTTTAAAAATAATTTATTTATTAATTTATTTAAAAATTATATTTTTAACTTGTTTAACTTAAATTATGTCATATTTATTATGAAATACGAAATATTTTTATTTTATAATAAAATAATATATTTATTAATTTATTTTTTAAAAAAATTTATTATTAACTAATTTTATCAACGCTCAAACTGATTGAGCCGTGACTTAACGATCTTTTTAGTTTCATTACTCCTACTGATGTTAAGACATGAGATAGACTAAATTTGTTAATAATTAGAAAATAGGTGATTATCTCTTTGATATGATAGAATTCCTTCCGTTATCCCTGTCCTTTCCAGAGTTGTTTTCAATTAGAGATAATAATCCAATTTCTTATTGAGGATGGAATTTGGCCACATCCATGAGTCGAGATTCCATATTCTTTTGCAAATATACTAGTCTCCTTGTTTGCTCCATTGCAAAAATAATTAATAAATATTTTTAACTAGAACTTAGCCATAAAAAGATGTTAAAAAAATTTCTATTTTTTTATTTTTTTGGGAACTGAGCAACGAATATTATTGTTAATTATTTAATTTTATTTTTAAGATTTCAATGATATATATATACATATATATATATATATGGCATGACTTTTTGTGACCGGAAGGATTAGATGTGCGAGGATTCACAGAACATTGCCCCATACAACAGTATATTTTAAGGAAGTTGCCGCGTAGGAGGAGGAAATATATTAAGATAAAATCAGAAAGTTAATAACAACTTGCCCAAGCTCAACATAAGAGAGATACATTGAACCTGGCCACAAGCCGTCATTCTTACGTAATGGGAGGAGTGTTCAACTCCGGTATTTTGTTCCTACTTATTCTGAAAGAAAGAGGATAAAAGTCGTAAGATCTTGGTCTTTATTCTTACTTTTTGAACCCATTTTTAATTTAAGGCAGCGCATTTGAACCGCCAGGGAAAGGGGAGGCCAAATTGCGAAGTACTTTTACCAGTCTTTTAGAGTCCATCCAATCTTAGCGAATACAGCTCATCCATTATAATGTGTATAATTTGCTTATAAAGTACCGTAAACAAATCCACCCTTGGAACAATCTGACGTGGTACGCCGTCTAGATATCATCCCTGCTCTACAAGATACAACCTATCTCTCTATCCAACACTAGAACTCCTGCAGAACTTGGGAGGCAATGGAGGGTACAGTCAGGTGCTCCGCGAACTATGTTCCCCTCTCCCCGATTAGCTTCCTGCAGAGATCGGCGCTGGTGTACGGAGAAAGAATCTCCGTTGTCTACGGTGATGTCAAGTTCACCTGGAGAGAGACTCTGAACAGGTGCACCAGACTCGCCTCCGCTCTCACCCACCTGGGAGTTTCTCGCGGTGATGTTGTGAGTCTTTTAATTCTTTGCTTCTGGGTTTCGTTTAATGTGCAGCATTTTGATGATTCGCTTCTTTATGTCGCCTTTTTTTCTTTAGATTTGGTTTTAATCCTAGATGCTCTGTTTATATTGGTTCATTATAATCCGATATGGAGAGAAAATGAATGTTTGTGTAACTGAAAGGTCAAATAAAGTTGTCTATACGACAGTTCATCAATCTTCAGAAGTGGAGTCATGGCCCCGGTTTGTATCAATAACTTCATTGGTTTTTCTTTATTTATTTGATCCCTATGAGGGGAGAGACTGAGCCAATATTGGATTTATATTTTGGAGAAAAATGGGTCGTATTGGAAGTTATTTTGTTCTGTATTCTATTGTTGGGTGCAAGGGTTTATTAATTTAGGGACTGACAATTCTTGGTTTGCTTATAGAGATAAGACAAAGGGAATTGAAATGAAGAAAATCAATAATACTATTTAGGATAATTTTGCCAGTTTCCCTCGGGGGATTGTCTCAAAATCATTCACTCTCTAATCTATTGTTTAGGAATAGTGGCCTAAAGAGACATGCTCCATTAGCCACAAATGACCGCATCATCTCTATTCTCTCTTAATCCTAATATATATCTTATTCCTCCTAATTCATTCACCAATTATCAGAATCCTTTTCTTTCAATCAAACATGCCCTATGGTTGTGTAAAGGACACTATTTTGTGGCCCAGAGTTCTCGGACCTTGACAAGTAAGAAAGGAAACTATTTTGGGATCCAGATTATTCGGACCTCAACAAGTAAGCTTTCCAGTAACTCTTCTTGTTCCCTATTCAGCTGCTTCTTCATTTCCAAGTGGGATCGCCCTCGGTCGTCCTGTTCCACTGCTGTTTTGGTTGGAATAAACTCCACGCATTAGAATTTTTTTCCTTTTTTTTTTTTTTTGTTTTGACAGAGTAAGAAGGCTCCACTTTTAACTATTTTTCTAAAAGCATGTCCCACCTTGTAACTTCTTACACTTGCATCCTGCGGAATTCGAATCAATCAAAATGAAACCCAATTTACCGTATGAATTGCCCAGTAAATGATCTTTTCTAGACGTAACAGATGCTACAGAAAGTTTTCTTGTAGGGACGGCGGTTTGATTTACCTGGTTCATCTGTTTTCTTTTCCATCTATTTCTGAGTCCATATTTTACTTGCGTTTACTTTCTTGTACTGTTTCACTCTTCTGTTTTGTTGCCCTGGGGTTCCTTCATGAATCCATATGCTAGCAGATCATGACACAGACCACATCAACTTCCCATATACTAGTCTTTGTAGTTACTAAAGCGGTCTAGATTTCTTGAGCAGGTTGCTTCTTTGGTCCCAAATATTCCGGCCATGTACGAGCTACACTTCGCAGTTCCCATGGCGGGTGGAGTTCTTTGTGCACTTAATATTCGCCATGATTCAAACCTAGTTTCTGTTTTGCTGAAGCATTCTGAGGCCAAAGTTTTCTTCGTGGATTACCAATTTTTCAATGTTGCCAAGGAAGCAATAGAAATTCTCTCCAAGACAAGCAAAAGACTTCCTCATCTTGTGTTAATAATGGAGCTTGATAAATCATCTCCCACCACAGCCGGCACAGTTCCATCGCAAGGACACATGGAATATGAAATGGTTTTGACAATGGGCAGACCTGATTTTGAGATCAAATGGCCACAAGATAATGGGATCCCATTTCACTCAATTACACCTCAGGCACAACATCAAGTCCGAAAGGCGTAGTTTATAGTCATAGAGGGGCATATCTCAATTCTCTTGCTACTGTAATTCTCAATGAAATGCAGTCCATGCCGGTCTACTTATGGACTCTTCCCATGTTTCACTGCAATGGATGGTGCCTGACGTGGGGCGTGGCGGCCCTGGGTGGCACAAATGTTTGCCTGAGAAATGTCACTGCAAACGGAATTTTTAATAATATTACTCAGCATAACGTGACTCACATTTCTGGTGCCCCCACTATTTTGAATATGATTGTGAATTGCCCGGTTAGTGATCGCAAGCCTCTCACCGGGAAAGTGTCAGTGCTGACTGGTGGTGCCCCTCCACCACCGCAAGTGCTCTTCAAGATGGAGGAGCTAGGGTTTGCCATCACTCACACGTATGGCCTGACAGAAGTCTATGGTCCCGCAACAGTTTGTGCCTGGAAACCAGAATGGAACTCTCTCCCACGTGAGGCGCAGGCCAAGATCAAGGCTCGACAAGGGCTGCACCACCTGGGCTTGCAAGAAGTAGATATAAAAGATCCTGTCACCTTGAAGAGTGTCCCGCCCGATGCAAAAACAATGGGTGAGGTTATGTTCAAAGGCAACACGGTAATGAACGGTACTTGAAAGATGCCAAAGCAACACAAGATGCTTTCAGAGGAGGGTGGTACAGAACAGGGGACTTGGCAGTGAAACACCCAGATGGGTACATAGAATTGAAAGATCGTGCAAAGGATATTATTATTTCAGGGGGAGAAAATATCAGTACGATAGAGGTGGAGTCTGTCCTTTTCAGTCATCCGGCAGTTCTTGAAGCGGCAGTTGTTGGAAGACCAGATGAATACTGGGGGGAGACACCTTGTGCATTTGTGAAATTGAAGGATGGGTATAGGGTGAGCACTGACGAGATTACTAGATACTGTCGGGATCACTTGCCCATTACATGGCTCCTCGGACCGTTGTTTTTGAAGATTTGCCAAAAACTTCGACAGGGAAAATACAGAAGTTTGCTCTGAGGGAGAAAGCCAAGGCTATGGGGAGCCTGACAAGGACCATCAGCAAATTGTGAAATGAATTCAATGGTTGGTAGTACTTTGAATATCTGATTTGAATAAGAATTCAGACGACTTGTTCTTGCTCAGAATCGTCCAATTTTCCCCAATATTGAGTAGTTCCTCAATAGCTTAAAATGAGAGATATTTCAGTGGTCGTAAATGTTCAATAAAAAGAACTTAATTTGGATTGTATAATTGCCATTCGTCAAGTTAATTATAGACTTCAGACAAGATTAAAAAACGCACGTTGTTCTCTTCATGTACTTTGGCTTCGTTGCTCTTTTTTGACTCTTGGAACTTTGACAAAGCGCGTCAAATGAAGAATGGATGAGAGTGGAATCGCCACCCGAAGTACGTGATTTTCTGTCTTCTCTTTTCTATTTCTATCTGAAGAGAACCGAAATATCAAGTATCTCAGTATTACAGAAACTCCAATCCACAAATAATAAACTCTATAGCACTTAAATTCTCAAGGAGCATATTTTCTACAAGGATATAACTACAAGAAATACTTCGGTTCCCCACCAGCTTCATACACACGTGACATAGCCTACATCCCACGTCTTATTGCAGACTCACGCAGAATGACGGACAAAATTTCAATAACCATCGGTACTATTCAAGCAAATCATTCTCTTCAATGCTCCCTTCCATCTTCAGTAGAACTGTCAATAGGTTAAATTTTAATCCAAATTCGATCCAAATCCGATCCGAATTTTAAGCTGTTTAACTGATTAAAATACCTAATGAATTAAATCCGATTATAAATATTCGTAATCCGAAATAAGTAGACTAGATATGGAATTAAGCAATCCGATCCATTAAAAATCTGAATCCGAATATTTTAATAATAATTTTATTTATTAATAATTATATATATTTTTATATAAAATGTAATATATATAACATTATAATTAATAATACATTAATTTGTATTTTTGTAACATTTTATTTAATAGAACAATATATATTTTTTCTAAACTATTTTATAATATTATTTTACTTTCCCTAATTTTAATTTTTCTAGTAGGTATTATATTTAATAATTAACTACTTTTGAAATTTCATGAAACACTTGAATAAATTGATTATAAAATTTTTTAAGTTCTAACTATAATATAATAAAACTTGATAATTTTATAAAGTATTAGAATTCTATCATTACTTTTGTAATATATTATATAACAAAAGTTTTTCTTAATCATTTATAAATAACAATTTATTTTTTTATTTTATTTATATTTTAATAAAAAAATAATTAAATGTAAATTTTACATGAATTTTTATCATCTATAAATAATAATTTATTTAATTTTATATATCTTTTATTTATTGATTATTTAATTTTAATTATTATTAATAGTTACTCGGATTGGATTTTTTATTCGGATTTCGAATTTTTATCGGATTCAGATTCGGTAATAACAAGTAGAAATCCTATAAGATTTCAGATATAATTTAAATATATACATTGATAATCAGATTCAAATTCAAATCAGTTTGATTTGATCCGAATCCGACCCGTTCACATACCTAACCTTCATCTAGGTCAAATAAGTTCAACAAATCCTCTCATGCAACTTGTAGGATTAAATTTAAAACTAGATAATAAATAAATAACAAAAACCCCGACTTCATCAACGGAAAACCAACAACATTGGAGTTTCCAAAAGCCTAGCTCGTGGGTTTTTGAAATCGAGGCTTAGGAAAGTCATGGATGACAGGGATAGTATCTATTGAGTCTTTCAATTTAAAGTTAGATTAAACTCCACACAGATAGTGCGGCCAATCTCAGTAATAATAAAGTAGAACATGGAGAACTCCTCAAAAATCATGACAAAGATTAGATTAGAAGTTTCTCCAAACCCATTAGCATAGTTAGCACGGGCCTAACCAAAGCTTGAAATGTTTATGAGAGTTTAAAATGACACGGTCTTTAGACTTTAAAAAAGTTTTAATAGAGATAGACTCTTAAAACCTTATCGACATTTTTTAGAATACATAATCAAATAACTTCTCTTCTCACTCTTTGCTACCCCAAATCACCACTTTTATCAATTAAATTGGATTGTTTGAATTGAACAAATTCCCAAAAAAGCAAATAGGTGTACTAATCACTTGACCAAATTTAACATGTTCCAAAACCTAAGAAGAAATGACAAAAACTCTTCCCCCAATAAACTGTAAAATATTCTCCAATCAAATTTATTGAGAGTCTATACGTCCCGAAGTTATGTAAACCATTAATCTTCTCCTTTGGGACCTTGGCCGCTTTGTGATTGTTTTAATTTTGATAGATTTACATTCAATTTTTCTTGAAACCATTTGTCCGTTTCCAATCGGTTTCGATTCTTGCATTCAATGATTGATAGCTAATTATTTTGTTCCGTGGCTTTCTCTCACATTCCAGGAATTTCCACGTCAAATCTTGCCTTCATCGCTGCCATTATTTGCTTGATTTTTATTTTTATTTTCTAGTGCCAGAGCACTGGTTGAAAGTGTTTGACATATAAAGACTGAATGAAATATAAATAGAATTGTTTGCTTAAATGGCACCACTAATCATGTCTGAAAGTTAACAAGAATATGTGATTACCCATTTTTGGTGAAAAATCTGAGGGCATAAATAGTGCTGCATAAGTATTATTTTAAATGGAAGAAAGAAAATAAGGGAAATCAACATAATAAGAAAAATCAGATTTTATTTTAATAATTTGCTCATTGTCTGTGATGATAAAAGATAACACTCCCAAACACTTAAAACTCATTTACCCAAAAAATAATCAAATTGTCGTCACAAACAAAGCAAATATGAGCATAAAAAATTGTTATTTCTTACTATACTTATTTCTGTTATTTCTTTTTTTCATTTAAATCAACATCTTTTAGTATTCATCCAACTAAACTAAATCAAACCAATTAAATCAACATTTTTAAATATCAAAATTCATAATTTAATATAATTTATAAAAAATTATAAATTATAAAATATAATTTAATTTAAAATTAACTTTCAAATCCAACCAAACTACAATAACACCCCTCTTTTAATGTATTCTTTTTGTCCACAGTGGTAGTACCGCTCGCTCTCATTTTTGAATTTCTTTCACCCTTTCCATACCCTCTATCGTGCTTCTTCCCCATGACTCAACAACTAGGACATCCAGCTGTACCACCAAACCATAAAGCCGTTCTTCTACCTCCGCATTGTACACTACTGTAAGACACACCATGATCAACAGACTACATAGGGTTTCATTAATTACGATCTTATGAATTTCTCAAGATTCAAAACAACCATAGTGCGTGTACCTCATTCTCCAATCTAGTGCTCACGCCAACTGTTCAAAAATACCCTTCAAAAAGCCTCAAATGATCAGAAATGGAGTTCCCTTTCTTACCCACTAAATTGCTGACTTATTTCAACAAAATAGTTTATTGGAACACACTCTTGACGAGTTCATTTTCAAACAGTATCATTCATTCCTTGAAAATTTAAGTTTAGGAAACTGACAAATAATTTGACATCTCTTAAATCTCATCTTTTCTCCTCCAATTTTAATTAATGTCAATTCAAACAAATCATTCTGCTCATGCTTCGCAATCATCCTTGAATGGACCAAATAATTTCAACCAATGTTCTACTCCCACTCCTCACAGTAAAACCGGACAATTAACCCAACATAACTAATAGAAATCTAGATAACAATGAAAATCAAACGATTAGAATTAAAACCAAATAATTGAGTCAACACAAACAATAGAAGAGCAAACAACGTAAACCAGACACATAGATCTCAGCAATAAAATACAAAGCAGATAGGAGTCGGATTTTCTTGATGTCCCCAATTCCCATATCTTCCCCATTCAACAAAGCAAGTAGACAGACGAGGAAGATTACAAGACTTTTACACGGTTGCAACGTATGCTTTGTTCTGTGATTAGTAGACTGCATAGTTGACTCTATCCCCTCCTTTTCTCCGTTCGTAGATTTTCCACTTCAAAATCTGGCGCCCTTCCCCTCTCTCGAGTTCATTTCTACTCTCGGGCTATCAACTCGTTCGAATCCGCTGATTTGGGTCCGATCAAGATATTCAGCATCCCAGATCTTGCTGCAAATTTGTGCAGAAAAACGTTCTCCAGTAAATAACTATTCCGTATAATTCATCAATGTCCAAGCTCATCAGTTTAACTCCATCCATGTCAATGATTGGTCTCGACTCGGAAGAAATCTGGTAACCCTACATTCTGATTCTCTACTTGCTCCAATATAATGCAAACACCATGCATACCACAAAAATCCTCTCTTCCAATTTTTTGATCTTCCTCCTCCTTTGTGCAATGACGAACCTTATAATGAATCGTAATATAAACCAATTGTTCTCAGATGACAGTCTCCAGCTAAGATCTCTCAATTTCAATACGTATTGAAGCTTGAGTAGTTAAAAATAAAATTGACAAAAAAAAAAAAAAGGCTGGCATGTTATATTTCCAGCTTTCGTTCCGTCCTGCTCTGATGCTTATAACAACGGTACCAATTTGAAGATTTTGACACCCCGTATAACAAAGACACCCAAGAATTGAGACCCAACTGACTTTGAAACTTCCGAAAAGTAGGAGTCATACTTTAAAATTCCAAGCCATCCAGCCAACAGTCAAATTTCTGAGTGAACCTCAAATAATCCAAAACCAACAAGATAACCTACCCAAACTCCAACCTCTACCCACCGACAACATGAGAGAAGTGCTGAAGCACAGGCAAAGGTGTTCATAATTTTTTAAAATCTTACCAAACCAAACTTCACTGTATCAAACCACACTGAAAGTTCAATTTTTTTAAAAAAAAAATTTATAAATTTTGACCTTAAATAATACCGTACAATTTTATTTTTTAATTTTATAAATTTTAAATTGACAAAAAATCATATCAAATCAAACATTATATATAAAATAATTAAAATTTAAAATACTAACTATAACTTAATAATCAATTAAAAAAATTAATAAATTATAAATTTTTATAAAAAAATATAAATATTTTAAATTAAAATGTAAAAAAATTTTAATAAATATCTTTTACACTTACAATTAAAAAAATATTTTTCATTACACTTTTTCATTGTAAATAAATAAAATATTTCCTTTCACAAATATAAAAATAATTTTTAAAAAAATTAAATCCAAAAAAATACACGTAAAAAAATTTAAATCAAGTATTGAACTTTTTTTTCCCA